TATTTAATCCAAAAAGTATTTGCACAGTCAGTAGAGATGATGAAAACCTTGCTAAAAACGTACATTCGTCCAAAAGTGGAGTATGCAAGCTCGATATGGAGCGCATATTATGTCTACAAAGTTCTCTCAGGCTACTATAGTCCCCTGATTGAACTGCCAATATTTCACCCTAATAACTCGCATGAACTTAGAAGCCATTCAAGAAAACTTAAAAAAGAAAAGTGTTCGTTTTTATTAAGGAAGAACTTTATTACTAATAGAGTCGTGTATAAATGGAATGGGCTTCAGGAGAATACTGTATTGGCACCGACGTTGAACTCTTTTAAGAACAGGCTGGAAAGCGAATTATTGTAAATGCAGTCCATACTCAAATTGTACACTACATGTGAACGTTGACTGACTACTTGGGAAATCTACAAGTGAAAGAACTCTAATAAAAAGACAATAAAGCAATAATAACATCGGTTTTTCAACCGCTATCTATTGCTCTGAATAATAATAATAATAAAAATAATGGTCTGCAGTAATCTCTATTGTTAACACCACAGATGTACCTAAGAGCCCGCCTCTGTAATACGAAAACAGAGTCCAACAGATTCCCCAAAACCAGATACCATAATATCTTAAGCCTTGACTCGATCAAGGCAAAATAGACCGATCTGGACAAGGAACGTCCCAGCTTAATGACCGTTGTTCAGACCGCAAAACACCCAGATGATATTTTATTTGAAAGACTGACAATGCGAGATTTAAAACTCAATTCACTGTCAATAATAAGTCCCAGAAACTTAGTTCACCGATTGAGACGATTCAATTGAAACCTCCTAATGACGATCGGACAAACAAAGAGGATTGAAACCATGTGAGTGATACTCCTCTAAAGCCATAGTGAGAGAGCTTCTGCAACAGGATGTGGTGATAAAGGCAATCAAATACTTTTGATAAATCGCAGAAAACTGCTGCAGTAACTCCACCATTCATTATCAATGCCGGAACAAAGACCTTCCAAAAATTGAAAAAGCGCATCATCTGTATATTGCGATGTGCTCGAAAGCCAAATTGAAGAGAACTTTTGTATTCAAAAATGAGATCACCTTACTTTTGACTAGCTTTTCTACAATTTCGGATAGTGATATGGGCCTATAATTAGAGGGAGGGTAGTAGGAAAAAAATAAAAGGAATTATTGACCCCAGCATTATTGGAAAGAAAACTAAGTGGATCAGTGTGATGAGTAAAATTTTTGGCCAGGTTTTCTGCCATAAAACAGTAAAATTTGTTGACTGAGTCAGGAGACATGTCGTTATCATTGATACTTGGGTAAAAATGGCTTTTCCTACGAATATCGTTTATAATCGACCAACTTTCCCTTTGTTGGATGCATTTGCAAGACGATTGGAGTAATGTGAATATTTGGCTACCTTCATAAGTTTTCTATAGATTGAACAGAAATGGCAGTTGAAATAGGTTTGAAAGTGTGAATTATCTAATATAGTGATAATTTTGAAGATTCTTAGAGGACACCTTGAATCCTCTCTGGTAAACCAGGATTTGTTGTGTGAAAATTTTTCATTAATTTATTGTGAAACTTCCCAATAGGATCTAGGAACGAAAAAACCCTCCACCGGAAGCAACATACGTAGTCGGTAAAACCCATAGCTTGACGAACCATATACCTAAAACAAGCTCCACGTTATTGGTATACAAACAAGAATGAATACATTTCTTCAAAAATTAGGTTTCAAGGCTAGTAAAGCTGGCCAATGCGTGTAAGGAAAAGAAAGAAATGACAAAAGACTACTCTCTACGCTACGTCGATGACGTCTTGGTTGCCTCTCCATAAGAATTGCAAGCCTTTATTGAAGATTCAAGAGAAGATTTTAAAATAACTACACTACCAGCGACATATTGTTTGGGCTTAGAATTTAAAAGAAATAAGGCAATTAATTAGCCAGAGTACCTATGCATACTAAGAAAATTCATTCATGTTTCAATCTTACTAACTGTAGACCAGTCAGTGCACTAATTGAGAAGATCGCTGATATTTCAAAAATAGAGAAAGAAAGTCAGAAACAATTTTTGCCTTATAGAGAGGCATTATAGTCTGGTAACTTGATAGAGACGAAAGGGGAAGAAAATTGGGGCGTATCTCAAGATTATTCACTGACACCTCGATTGACACCGCTTGATAACAACCATGTCTTTAGATTCAGTGACACCGAAAACGAAAACACCAAGGAAATAAACAAATAAAATTATTGGAAAAAAAAATCTTCAGTACCACTAATAACCACGCCACTGTGCTGTCGTTCAGGCTCTAACCAATAGAATCATACCTCTGAATAATCAGGACTCTACACATCCTCCATTTCGCAATGTTGCCGGATTTTTTTCTATTTCAAAATACTACACATTTCCATATTGAAAAAAAAATAATATGTAAGAAACTTATTTATTATTGTTTCCGTTAAATTTGGCAAAGCAGCTATTGCAGCTCGCCGTCTGGTCTGGTTTGCCAGACGATAGGTGCTCTGATGTACTTATTTAATGGTTGGTACAAGACCAGACCTTGCCTTTGCTGTGGAATATCTCTCATGGACCTTGGAATATACTTCTTGAAATTTGAAAATCAAGCAAGTTTCAACTGAAGATCAACTTGCAGAATAGATGTGATGTCCAAAACCTTTGCTAAACTTAATCCCAGATTCTTTAGGGCCAAATTATGGACTGACTCGACTGGTAACGTCTTTGGCAAATTTATCCTGCTGGTAAAATTAAAAATTTCATTCAATTTTCAGTTTTACCAGCAGGATAAATTTGCCAATGACGTTACCAGTCGGTCCATAATTATTTGACTCTTTTAGTCAAAAATGGGACTGATGTAAAAAATAGTTATTTTCCTAACAAGTGCGCAAAGTGATACTTTCCCGCGAGAAAAGCAGTTAGACGAACGATGCGAAGCGGAGTTCGGATAAGTTTGAGTGCGGGCAAGTGTTAGGAACTTTTTCTACGAGTGTTTGAAAATTTGCATAACATCCAGAGGAGCTACCTAATCTTCTTGAATGTTTTCAGATGCTCAAAACTGGTAATTTTCTCCCCTAGTTCAATGTGTTGTGTTTTTAATTTTTTTTTCAGTGATCAGCTTGATTTTATTTGCAACATTGGTTGTGCTAGATAGCGAGGTTCATTTAAAATTTGAACAAGTCGTTAAGTTTGTTTTTCCTGCCAAATTTTGAGACTTAACTCGCCAGGATGATATTTTTTCTACGAGCGTGCGGAAAAGTGTACTTTTCCGCACGCATTTTAGGTCATGAAAGTATCACTTTTCCGCACTAGTGCTTTTCCGTACTTTTCCGCACTCCGTGCGGAAAAGTAGAATACCTTGACCCATACAGGTAAACAGGCATACTACAGGTACAAGGTACAGATGAAAAAAAAATCTTAAATTGATAAATATGTAGGTAAAAATATTACTTTTCATCTCGTAGAAAAAATAGTGTTCCTAACTCGTTCGGAAAGTCTCTTTTTCTACAACTGCTCTAGAAAGCTATTAAAAACGCACTACTAACTCACCTAGAAAATCAATTAATCCGCACAGCGTGCGAAAAGTAACTTTTCACACGCTTTAAATAATAATTTTTAGCAAAAAAAAAATTAAATCTCAATGTGAATATAGTTATTTCGCAGTCGTAGAAAAAGTATAGTGTGTAACGCGTGTGGAAAGCACTTTTCACACTCGTGCGGTTTGTGCCACTCACCTGCGGCTCGTGTCACCAAACTTCTCCACACGGGTGAAAAGTGCCATTTTTAACACTTGTTGCACAATATACTATTTCCGCACTAGTTAGGAAATATATTATTTTCATGTGACTTTTTAAATTAGTTTTACATAGAAACAAGTAGGTACAGCATCTTCCCAAAGCATATTATCGATACAGTTTTGCTTGCATTATCATAGATCTTGCTTTGTCCATTGATGTCAGATTTATTCTTTTCGCAACACCATTAAGGGCGGGTATTATAAAACTACTTTGAGAGTTAACTTAAAGTTAACTTTTCGAATTACATGTAATTCAAAGAGTTAACTTTAAGTTAACTTTTAAAGCAGTTTTATAATACCCGCCCTAAGTTGGAAAGTATATGGAGGAATATAACTAACAGTCCTACTGATACCTACTTCAAAGGAATGTGAGTTGGTGGCTACCCATGCCAATGGTCACCTGATCTCACATTTGTTTTTGCTGGATTTTTCTTTCCCTCAATCCTCATATGGAAAGTGTCAAATTTAAAAAGCTGAACATTACCTGAATGCCTTTCTTGGAACAAAAATAACATCAGGAATCAGGCCCTTCTTTCTGAATATAATTTTATCCCGAAAGTTTCAGGCCGAAACCCACAAAACATTTAAAAATCGAGTATAAATGTGCTAACTATACATAACAAAAATGAGTGCGCAAATAGTTTCCAAGCTTTTTAATAAGTGCATTAATGCACTAATGTCCTAACTTTAGTAGCTTGTTGTTTTTGCTATTATTATTATTATTATTACAACAATTAACCAATAATTGTATATTGGGCTTGACTCGTAGTTAAATAAATATTTAACTCGTAAAAATTGTCAACGCCACTGGCGGTAATCCTAATCCCTTGTTTGTCCTATTCACTTTCAAATTCCGTCCTTATTCCTCTGTATAATATGGACAAAGACGGCCGACTGGTTTTCGAACGCTCTACTAAGAATCGATAAACGCCGGCTGGTTTTATGTTTTGTGCCGTCAGTGAACGCTGAACCACAGTCAAAAATAACCAACAAGCTTGGGCTCTTGAAAACCCATGCTTTTTACACGCGAATTTAGCGAATTTCAAGGTAAGAATCGATTTTACTTCTATCAAAATACAATTTCCTCGGTTATTTATTTGTCAAATTCTTCTTGAACGGGTGTAATTGTTTTTCTAGGTTAAACAGGGGATTAAATAAATCGAAACATTCGAAACACATAAAATGCAGCAACAGGAAACGTCGGAGCCGTACGATTCGACGCGCAAACGTTCTCCGAATTTTACGGGGGAAGAGAATAAAGTGCTGAACGAACTGGTACAAGTTTACGAGGAGCAAATTGAACGTAAAAAGACCGACCATGCTTCTAATGTTATTAAGAACAGAGCCTGGCACGAATTGGCCAAAGATTTTAATGGCAGACTTGGACATCCTTATAGGTAAGTTAATTAAATAAACAATTTATATGCAGAGGTTAGGGAACCATAAAAATGAAGGTAATTTATATACCTGCACTAGAAATTAATCTTTAGGGGAACTGCGAGTTTTTGCATTTGAAAGAATGATTCGTCAACTTACAGGTAGAATTTTATTGTTTATTATTCAGGGGGAGTAAAAAAGTCATGCAACTTTTGGATTTTCTATAAATCTTCAATACCTAATCACTGATTTTAACGCTCAGCCAATATCAAACTTTTACTTGGATTCCGAGGGGTGGTTAACTCCTTAAAATATGTACACAGATTTTAAATCTTCATTGATTTTGTAGGATTTTGAGGATTTTGAAAATCTTCACATGATTTTACAAGATTCTAGAAGATTTTAGGTAATTTTGGAGCATTTTAGGGAAGTTAGAAGGGTTTTTAGAGATCCTAAAGGATTTTTAGCAATTTTAACAGATTTTTGGGGATTCCAATAAATTTTTGAAACTTTTAAAGAATTTTTTTTTTTTTTAGGAATATTAATGATTTAAGTAGGGAGATTTTGTTGGATTTTTAAAGATTTTCAAAGATTTTAAGTAGATCTTGCGAGTTTTTCTGGGAATTTGACCTACTTGTTCACAGTTTTTGACCAATCAACCGCTCCGAGGTTTAGTTAACTCTATAAAATAATGAACACATATTTTAAATCTTAATTGATTTTGTAGGATTTTGGGAATTTTGAAAATCTTTAGGTACACGATTTTACTGGAGTTCAGAAGGTTTCAGATTTTCAAAATTTTGGTGATTCTGGAGTATTTTGGGGGTTTTTGAAAAGTTTTTAGAGATTCTAAATTCAAATGACAAATTTAAATAGAGAAACGGAAATTCCTAGACATTTTACTATAGGATTTCATAATACTTTTCCGGATTTCATCATATGATTCTATGGAATTCCACCATAAAATTCAATGGAATTCTTGAAAAAAAATTCCTCGGAATTACACTACTTATGAGATTTCATGAAATTCTTCGGCATTCCACTAAAATTTCAAGTTATTCCATGGGAATTCTGCGAAACTTTTTGTTAATTCCATAGAAATTCCTCAGAATTTCACTAGAAGATTTCATGGAATTCCTCGAAATTCCATTCAAATGACAAATTTGAATAGAAAAACAGAAAGTCCTATAAATTTTACCATAAGATTTCATAATACTTTTCCTAATTTCATCATAAGATTCCATGGAATTCCACCATAAAATTCAATGGAATTCTTGTACAAAAATTCCTCGGAATTACAGTAAAAGATTTCATAAAAGTTCCGGAATTCCACTAAAATTTTATGCAATTCGACAGAAATTACTCAGAATTTCACTAAAATTTAATTCAATTCTTCGGATTTTCGTCGAAATTCCTCGTGGTTCCATGGAAATTCCACGGAAATTCTGTTTAATTCCAAGCGAATTCTTCGGATTCGATGTAATTTCACTGGAATTCCACAATAAGATTTCGAGGAATTCCATGTACGTAATTCAATGAGTATTCCTTGGAATTTTACTCGACATTTCAATGAAATTTTATGTAAGTCGACACAAAGTGAAATTATATATAATTTGATGGAAATTCTGCGAATATTTCATAATTTTTTTTTTTTCGAAATCCCACTGAAATTCTCCAAAATTCTATAGAAATTCAAAATTCCAAAATTTTTTTAAAACTTTACTGGATTCCCCAAAACTTCACCACTGAACTCTCCTGGAATTCCACAAAATTTTCATAAAATTTTTCGGAATTTCACTGACATTTCCTGTAATTTCTTAAAAACTCCTCGGAATTTCACTAAAATTTTATGAGGATTTTTTGAAATTTCACTGAAATTCCACGCTATTAGTCGAAAATTTCTCGAACTTCCAATGAAACTTCGTATATTCAAGTAATTTCTTGAACATTCACCGAAATTCCTCCGAAATATATTGAAATTTCATATCATTACATGGGAATTTTTCCAAATTTCATCAAAATTCCAAGTTTTTAGCCGGAAATTCCTCGGAATTCCACTTATGAAATTTTCTCTAATTTTACTAAAATTCAGTAATTCGATGGGAATTTTTCGAAATTTCAATTTCACTAAGATGCCATGTTTTTAACTGGGAATTCCTTGGAATAAAAATAAAACTTCATGTAATTACATTGGGATTTTTCGAAATTTCACTGGAATTCCTTATGGAACGATAGGAGTGGTTCAAAATTCCACTTAAATTTCATGTAATTCCCTGACAATTCCTTGGAATTCCATACAGTTGCATCGGAGCTCGATATAATTCGCCGAAAATTCCTCGAAAGTTATGTAATTTTTTGAAACTCTTTTAAAATTCTTTATGTAATTTGACGAGCATTGAAATTTCATGTTGGGAATTTCGGTGTAATTCATTGTAATTGTTTAGAATTCCTCCATGCAACTCATTCAGGATTTCATGTAATCGATCGAAATTCCACTGAAATTTTATGTAATTTCTCGAATTTCCATGTAATTCGAGGGGAACTAAAATTTAATGTGAATTCTATGGAAACTCCGCAAAAATTTCACATGTCACATTTCACACCATAAAATTTAATGGAATTCTTGGAATTTTTTTTTCTTCGGAATTAAAATATAAGATTTCATGAAATTCTAAGGAATTCCACTAAAATTTCAAGTTATTCCATGGAAATTCCGCAAAAATTTGAGTCAATTCCATAGAAATTCGTTAGAATTTCACCAGAAGATTTTATGGATTTCCTCGAAATTCCATTCAAGTGATAAATTTGAATGGAAAAATTCAATGGAATTCTTGAATAAAAATTCCTCGGAATTACACTATGATATTTCATGAAATTCTTCGGAATTCCACTGAAATTTCAAGTTATTCCATAGGAATTCCGCGAAAATTTTAAGAAATTCCATAGAAATTCCTTAACATTTCACCAGAAGATTTTATGGAATTCTTTTTCAATTTTTTTTTTTGAATTACAGTGTAGGATTTCATGAAATTCCTCGGAATTCCACTAAAATTTCAAATTCAAAATTTCATAAAAATTCCATACTCCCCAAAATTTCACCACTGAAATGTCCTGGAATTCCACAAAATTTTCATAAAATTCTGCGGAATTTTATTGACATTTTATGTAATTTCTTAAAAATTCCTCGGAATTTCACTAAAATTTTGTGAGTATATTTTGAAATTCCACATTCATAGCCGAAAATTTCTCGAAAGTCTAACGAAACTTCAAGGAATTTTTCAAAATTTCATTTATTTTCATAAGAATTTTTCGGAATTTCACTGAAATTCTCTTTTAATAGCCAGGAATTTCTGGGAATATTAATGAAACTTCAAATAATTTCTTGAAAATTCATTATATGGGAATTTTTCAGAATATCACCGAAATTCCATGTTTTTAGCTGGAAATTCCTTGGCATTCCACTTGTGGAATTTTCTGTAATTTTACTAAAATTCAGTAAGAACTGAAATTTCATGTTGAGAATTTCGCTGTAATTTCATATAATTGTTTAGAATTCCTCCATGCAATTCATTTAGGATTTCGTGAAATTCGGTCGGAATTTCACTGAAATTTCATGCAATTCGAGAGGAACTAAAATTTAATATGAATTCTATGGAAACTCCGCAAAAATTTCACATGTTATTCCTTTTTCAGAATAACATAATTCTACCGAAATTCCTCGAAATTTTAATAAATTATGGAATTCTGAGAGACTTTAACAGATTTTTGGGCATTCCAAAGGATTTTTGGGAATTTCAAAGGAAATATTTTTAAGGAATGTTAGTAATTTTATGAGTTTTTGCAGGATTTTTTTGGTTTTATTAAAATTTTGTTAGATTTTGTAGGATTTTATGCAATTTCAAGAGATTTTGTCGGATTTTGTAAAATTTTTAGGGATTTTAAAGATTTTCAGGGATTTTGAGTAGATCTTATGAGATTTTCTGGGATTTTGATCAACTTGTACACGGATTTTGACCAGTTAACCACCCCTCGTTGGATTCTCTAAATGTAAACATATTTTTAAAACAAATTGAATGCTATTTTCCCACGGCGAAAATTGACGAAAAAGTTAAAATTAAATCAGTGAAAGTAGGTACCTATCAATATTTTTTGAATTTGCAGAGTTCTGCATCAAGTTTACTTTTAAAAGAATACTTTTTGCTGACACCTCATTTCCAGATAAGACATGCCAGTGATATCCCACACGATTTTCCAAAAAGCTTTTTTACTAGTCACAAAACCAAATCACAACTCAGTGTCTTACTATCCACTCGCGTTCTTCCGCTAATTATCCGAATATTAACCGATTCTTGACCTATTCACTCTTTTTCTTGGTTGTCTATTCCGTTTTCTAGTTCGTCGTTGCCTCAATAATTCACTTGCGTTCGTTTCGAATTTGTTGGTTTATTGCGCGGTAAAATTCGACTTTTTTAGTGATCAGGCGGTGTTGCAACTGGTTGCAAGATTACGCACAATTTCTCCCACTTGAGAAATTTATAGGCATATAACTGAAAGTTGACAAATTACTTACTTTTTGACGAAAATCGAAAACTAACTCAACTTTCATGGTTCTCTAACTTTTGATCAGCAATGGTTTGCACAAATTATTCGCGTACTTAAATTGTTTAAAAAAAATATATATTATTGGCCTTCATTTAATTTCATGTTTAAGGAGTCCCACAGTCCTAAAACACCGATATGAAAATATGAAAAAAGAATTCCGAAGGACCATGCGTTATAGGAGACAAACCAATGAGATGCCGGCCGGTGCTGATCAAGTACAAAATTATTTGGAAAACAGTTACACTAACGATACTGAAGCGGACTATAGCAACACTAACGAGTTCAGTAGGATCATTGTGTCCGATGATAATGAGGAAATGAATGGGTTTACGGAAACAGTTATCGACGATTGTGGTAAGTTGGTACTGTCAAATTTGAAATCTAGTAACCATCGCATCATCGTGCATTCAATACTTCCCTTGGCTGTTTTTTTTCTAAATTTTTTGTTTTCATTTGACCTCCTCAAACCACTTATGTCAATATTTTACACGCAACAAGAAAACGTTTGAAACTTCATATCCGTATTTAAAACTAATAAATCTCATAGTGATAGTGTTTTTAAAACTTGCAGAAACTGATGTGTCTATTATTCGAAGTTATTGATTAAAAGGGCCGCTATTTTAGTTGTATTGAAATGTCTTTTTTGCTGGATAAACCAAGGTTTGTAAATAGGTACCTAGTATGAATTATTGTGAGATTTGAATGTTTGAAAAAAAATCAGCAAAAAAAATCTCCGCCCAAACTCCATACTATTAATTAATTATTATGGGAATTATATATCTATGTATATATTTTTGAGAAAGAAATCACAGGGATATCCGCCAATTAGTCTATATTACGTCAACTATCAATGTGTTGTGAAGCTTTGGAAGTATTTTTGATAATTTTTACAAATATAAAAGATTTAACTACTTTAAATAATCTTGATAATATTGAAGGGTCCTGATGATGGAGTAAAAATACTTCGAAAGCTTGATGACATATTGAATATTGATAGTTGATGTAATATAAACTGTTTGCCAATATCCCTGTGATTTCTTTCTCAAAAATTAATTACTAGGGCCGTTAAACTTCTGAACACTATGTATATACGGGTGGGGCACGAAAAACTTCCCACTCAGGTTTTTTCAGGTGTTAGGTGATTAATTAAAAATCGCTCGCATTTGATTGGTATTTTCACCTCCTACCTGTCAACCCCTAAGTGAGGGTGACAGGTACACCCAAAATTTCAAATGAAAAGGGGGGTCGAGTGATACGTCATTTGATAGCTATTTTCATTAAGATTATATCCCCGAAGTTTTAAGTTGCTACTATTTACCCTGTCGAAATGGCGGCTTGCAAAGTTAGGAAAAATCAATGGAAAAATGCTGTGTGGTTTTTACTTGTTATCTACGCATAGGTGTGACAGGTAAAAACTATACAGTTTACATTATCGAAAAAAAGCATTTATCCTAACTTTGACATGCCGCCATTTCGGCAGGGTAAATAGTAGCAACTTAAAACTTCGGGAATATAATCTTAATGAAAATATGTAGGTACTAAATGACATATCACTCGACCCCTCTTTCCATTTAAAATTTTGGGGGTACCTGTTACCCCCACTTAGGGGTACCTGTTACCCCCACTTAGGGGTTGACAGGTAGGGGGTGAAAATACCAATAAAATGTGTCCACCAAAAAATTAAAATTGATGTGTCTGAGCGATTTTTGATTAAACACCTAACATCTGAGTATCTGAGAAACTCTGGGTGGGATGTTTTTCGTGCGTCACCCTGTATATACAGGGTATTCCATTTAAAACGAAACAGGCTAAATTCTGATGCTACGTTAATTTTTTGAAAAATCGCTCGTACACGTAATTTGATTTTTAAAGGGGGAAGTTTTCTGCAACCATTTTCAGCACTTCAACTTTAACCCTCTAGGCGAGGTGGGACCAATTCCTCTTTTAAAAGAGCATTCAATTCTCTTTCATTTGATGTCATCTGAAAGAAAATTGAACGGTCTTCTAAAACAAATATCACTCCACCCCCTGTTCCATTTGGAATGGTAAGAGTTGGTCTCGCCCCCCCTAGAGGGTTAAGTTAGTGCTGAAAATGTTTCAAACACTCACACAATCAAATTACGTGTACGAGCGATTCAAAAAAAAAAAAGTGGCATCAGATATTTGGCTTGTTTCGTTTTAAATGGTATACCCTGTATAATGTCAGCGAGTGGTTTTTCTTTTCTCGCTCTGGTGGGATCCTTGTCCAGTAATCCATTTCCACAGCCAAGAGCTTAACCCCCAGGTTTCTGAGCCATACATAGTTATAGTTTCAACAATGGTATGGTATATTATTTTCTTGTTTCTTCTTGTTATCTTGTTGCTCCATAATAGGGAATTAGATTAGGAAATAACTCTTCACCTCTGACCAACTTTATTCGAGGTGTCAAAGGTGCCTTTAGTTCTTACCATTGGAAGAAAGGGTAATACCAAGATATTTGAATGAAGGGCAGTTCTCCACTACACAATGTCCTAGATCTAAGTCACCTGCCAACTGCAATATATTCCGTTTTCTTCATATTTATTGTAAGTTTCCCAGTTTTACATATTCTTATTAAAGCTTCCGCAGCATTAACTCGAGTCATCTTTATCTCCTGTTATAACTACCTAGTTGTCAGCAAAAGAGAGAGGGAAAAGAAAAGTGTGTCCTTTCCTATCGGTAAGCCCATGCCGCTACATTTACTCTTCCAAGATTTTAGGGCACTCTCAATATAAATTTTTAAAAGCAGTGGAGCAAGGGAGCCTTGTCTAAGAGCTTTTGTTGTTGGGAACTTTTCGGAAAGTTATCGATCTTGCTTGACTGAGCTGTATATATTGGTATACAGAGGTTTGACAGCCTTTACGTATGAGTTGCTTATCCAATTTAGACTCATTACTGGCCACAACTTACCTAGTGGCAGCATGTGATAGGTTTTCTGTAATTCCATAAAGGTCAAGTAAACTCTACCTCTATCTACTCTTTTTTGAATAAGATTTTTAAGAGTTAACACTCCATCTATACACGAACGTCCTGCTCTGAAACCATTTTGTTCCTCTAATTCTTGAAACTCGATTTCTATTCTGTTTTTCAGAATACGTCCATATCATCTGACTACTGAGTACTGAGCTTGTGACGGTGATTCCTCTATAGTTTTTACAATCCAGTCTAGTCCCTACAGTCTAGTTGCGGTTGTTCTCCTCGAAGACATTTGGTGAAGATCTTCGAAAGGAGAGAGCAACTTTTAACAATTCGATATTTAGGTTGCCAGGCCGAGCCTTTCCGTTTTTCGTATGAGTTAATGCATTTTGTACTTCCCGTGGTGATATTTCTGGGGTCCAGACATTTATCTCGTCGTTTTCAATTTCATCAGTTCGAAATTTGTGGTCTATCTTCTGTTCGTAGATCTCTGTAGTACTTTGTCCATTTTTTAAGGTTTATACCCGCTGAATCACTGAATCTCCCCTCTCATGCTCTTTAGATGTTTCCAAGCTTTGTTTACTCGTATACACAGCTCTCCTTTCATTTACTAGCTCTTTTTTCCTTGAGCGTCGTTTGCTGCTTGGTGTATACAAGTTTTGATCTTTACGTACTTTGTTTGCTGTGCTATATTCTTGTATTGTCGAGAGTTTTTGAGCGAGTCGCAGTTGGTATGAAAATTTTATTGAGTCATCATTAAGGCTTTTCAGATTATATTTGATATTGGACTCTTCTGTTGTTAGCTGCTCATCGTTCGGTTTAGGTTTTGTAAGGGAAGTATATTTACTCAAGCAGTTCATGGTGGTCTGATGCATATTCAGGTCTTCTCATCACTTTAACATCGGTTATCTTTAGGTTAGTATGCTTTCTGACTATTAGATAGTTGATAATTTACTTACGTTTCGTGTAGGTTGGATCCACGTTCGGACCCACGTATAGCGATGTATATCTTTGCGTGCAAAAAAGCCATTGGTTATTTTTATTTCTGTTTGTTAACCTATAAGTTTCTCACCATTCTCACTTACAGTGTGTTCCTTACAGCATCATTTTGGCGAATCCCAGTTCTTCCGCTTATATCTATAGTAGGATTATTTCTTTTAGGTCACCGATTACAGTCGTTAGTTCCTTGAATTTTTTTTTTTTTTTATTGCTGGAGCGATTATCACCACTTTGGTATTTTTAATGTTCTTCGCTACTTCGAGCATTCTATAATTTATCTGCTCGCATAACTCAATACATGTCTTATATTTTTTCTTGGCCGGGATAGATACGCCACTTTCGCCTCTTTGGTCCTTAGGTACGCCGTGTGAATATATTGGTATTTGTCGTTCCTTTCCCCTTCTTGGCTTCTTAGGGCTGCTATATTCATGTCATATTTTTCCAGTTCTTCTAAGACTTCATCTGTTTTCGTGGCTATTCCTTGAATGTTCCATGTTGCGATTCTCTCAGTCCGTTTCCTTGCTTGTTTTCGTTGTAGTTTTCCCTCCGATTCCGTGAGAAATTTTGCATGGATGATCAATTTTAAAAGTGACAGAGTGCAGGTCTGTCGCCTTAACCCTCTTCTAGGAGGACCAGGAATCTTTCTGTAGAGGTTCTCTTCCCTTTTGCCTTCCACGGCTTCAAACTGGAGTGCCATCTCCCCATCTTCCCCTGTAGCTTAGGCAGGGAACCTCACTGGGTGCTATCACTCGGGCTAAGTGAACCGAGGTTTTTTAACAAGGTTGTTACTCCTCGGCCCCTTCTTTCCAATCCGCCGGCTTGGGACCGGCAATAAGTTATGGGATTTCAAGCTGGAATGTTTGAAAAAAGAGGACAGAAAAAATTGAAAAATCAAAAATTTCGCTTTTCATTCTTCAGGCCGATTTTACCTCGAGAACTCAGTCCCAATGAGCTAAAATTTTTAGTAGTCCTCTACTAGAATAATAATAATAATATTTATTAAAAGCTTGAAGCTAACATGTATAATATTAAGACCTTACAGTACAATATTATTATAGTGCATTATCTGAAACAGCAATTTTTAAATAAATTTAAATCTTCACAGTTCTTCACGTCGTTTGGTAGTTCATTATATAGTTTTAGTCCTTTATGGAACAAGTTCTTCTGGTCAAAAAATGTTCTATGCACAGCTCCAATATAAAAGTTGTTTGCAGATCTTGTAAAATGATTATGTATAATATCTTGTACAGTAGCGCAGTTGTCGAGGAAATGACTAGGCATGGCACCAGTCCATGAACCATTTTATAAATGAAGACCAGTATATTATAATTAATTGACTGGCGAACACTTAAGATACCAACAGTATCCAACATTGTTTTTATGTTTGCATATGTATTTGTATCCAAAATAATACGAAAAGCTAGATTTTGTCTTTTTTGCATTGTACTGATTTCGGTATTGTTAAGGAGAAACAATATTTTAGGGCAGTAACTAAAATATGGCATAATTGAAGCCTTGTACACTATAAGTTTTAACCATCCACTCAATGTTTTTCTCGTTCTACCCAAGGCGTTTACCCTACTAGCAATCTTGCTTGTTATATAGGATGCGTGCTTTGAAAATGTTAAATGCTCGTCTATAATAACACCAAGATATTGAAACTCCTTTACTTGCTCAATTTCAGTTCTATTTACCATAACTCCTGGATGTTGTGTCACATCTATTGAGTTCGTCGTTGTTTCAACCACCATAAATTTGGTCTTTCCAATATATGGCTAAGATTTTTTTTAAACATATAGATATATTCATTATATCTTTGTTTAAGGTGTTCACCACAGTGTCTAAATTGTTACCAGACAATATATCAACATGTCATCTGCAAATAGTTGAATGCAATGATCTTGTTTTTCGACTCCTTTCAAACAAATAACTTTGTATCCACTGAAGCGCTCTATTTTGAATGCCATACTTTTCTAGTTAAATTAATAACAGCCATCTATCAATTGTCTCAAATGCTCTTTGAAATTCAAGAAATAATGCTCCTATTACCAAATTGTCCCTCAATGAATCCTTTCATTTTGCTAGCATTGTCTGTAGTGCATTCTCACACGAGTTTTTCATTCTAAAGCCCGCCTGGAAACACGTCACAATTTGGTTATTTTCTACATAATTTACAAGTTGACTATTGATAACAAGTTGCAGGAGTTTTTCAAAGTTGGGAACCATGTTTATTGGGCGATAGTCCTGACATAATTTGGAATTCTTTTTCTTTTTTATAGGTGTGATAGAGGATGTTTTCCATCCATCGGGAAATTTTCCAGTCCCTATACTTGTGTTATAACTTGTAAAAAATGATTACCTATAGCTTCAAATGATGATTTTAGAGTCCCTGCGTTTATGCCATCCACGCTGCTTGGTTTATTATAAATTCCACTCTTTCAAATGTTCTTAGATAACTGTCTGCTTCTTGTATAGTAGAAGTAACTTAATTGTAAGTAGTATTACTACACTTTAAAGTTCTTGTTATTGAAGCAATGCTTTCGATAAAGAAAGCATTGAATTTTTCTACTATTAAATTATTATTTGTTTCCAGTTTGTCTTCATGGTTCAGGAATTGTTATCTCTTTCAATAATGCGTGTGCGTTTAATGTTTCTTTTATATTTGCTACCAATTTCTCTGAAATTATGTTAATATCTGAACAGTCGTTTTGCCAATTTTTGTCTATTAGTTCCAGTTGGTAATCTGTTTCATTAATGACCGTTTGCACCGAGCATTTCAAGACAGACTTAGCAATAAGTATTCCTTGAAGTGACATTGTTCCATGTGAAAATGCCATTTTAAGGAATACTTATCTCTAAGGCTTCCTTAACATGCAAAGTGCGCTCTTATTGTCTTTTTAAGCAAGTGGGGTTTCGGTTTTTTTATTAGGTCTACTGTCAAAATAGCATGGTCGGTTATCTTTGGTGTTAAATGAATATTATAGGTTGTAGTTTTTGTATTGGTGACTATCAAATCGATAATTATTCCCCCTTGTCTTGTGACTCTTGTAAATTTATTCACGTGTTAGTAAGCTCCTAGGGTTGTTATCATGTTTTCCAATCCTCTTGAATATTGTGTATCCATTGCCATATTTATATTGAAGTCTCCAATAGGAATAAAATACCCTTCCTTGGACAGCATGTTTTGCAGAATTTCATCCATATTTTCTAGAAATGTTGCGTTACTAGCATTAGAGGAATGATACACACATAAGACATTGTATTTTAAAGTATCTATTATGGCCTCTATTCCTATTACCCACAATTACAGTGCTGAATATTTGTTTTGTTTCAATTTCATCTTTTATATAGATCATACTTCCAGCTGTATGCCTACTTTTAGAATAAGCACTAAAGTATTTATATCCTTCTATTTGTTTTTCATTTTCTTGAATGTCATTTGTTACATGACTTTCTGATAAGCATACAACTACCGGTTTTCATTGATTGATCAGCCAGTTTAACTCTATTTTATGTGCAAGAAGATTTTGTATATTTAGATACATTATTTGTTGCTCGTTGCTAGATATTATTTTCGTTATATAAATCTGGATAATTGTGTTTCTTCTGTAATTGGGTAAAAAAATCAACAGTAAAACTCACATTCTTTATTATATGCTGCATGGTTGTAGTTAACACTTTCCACTCCTACGATTGGGGCTGCATTTTTATAACTAACACATTCTTTTACTAGTGCAGTGCACTCTTTACTTTTGTGATATCCTGTGCACTACTGTGCAGTTTGGGCAAAGTTCTTTTTCACTTTTGCACTCTTTTCCCATATGTCCAAACTTCCAGCATCTGTAGCAATGTATTTATATTAACATGGTCCACAAAATAGCAACTTGTTCGTCCTATATTAACTGTTCCTCTCAATTTTATTTGTTTATAGGTATGATGATCCTATTCTAAAATAACGTATGTTCTAGGGGTTTTTCCTTCTTTCTTCGTCTCATATTTTATTTATATATCTGTTTAATTATTCGCATATTCTCTTCCGTTGTTATTCTATTTTGTCTTATAATACTTCTCCATCTTCTGTTATTTTTTTGTTTACGTTGAAAATCTTGAATCTTGGATTTTTTAATTTTGGCTCTATGACATTATAATTTTGTCCGATTTTTTCTTTAATATTTGCACAAACTGATGGACTCTTTCGTTTCCTCATCCTTGTAGCTTATTGCAATTCCCTCATCACAAGCGTATTTTACTGCAGATATTCCAGCCCCTAAAGTGCTAGGTTCCATTTCATTTTCTAATGGTTGCTTTGATGTTTTGCTTGTTTGGTTCTTATCTTTGGGTTCAATTAATAAAACTTTTCCTACGACAGATGTTTTCTTCACTATCTTGCTATAACTTGTTAGGTTTTCATGATAATTTATTTCTTTAATGTCATTTTCAACAGTCTTATTATCTCATCTTTACTATCTATTATTGTTTGTTTATCATCTATTATATTCTTTAAAAGAATATATTATATATCCAAATCTCGACATGTTGGACAGAGAAACTTCACTACCCTAGAACCTAATTGTAGAACTTTTTCTGATGATGTTAGCTTGTCACATGCTTTACATATATTTCTATGACATTCATCACAATTTTTCTCTGGTTTTTACTTCATGGCAAAAATCACATTCCATCTTTTTATAAGATCACGACATGGGTGGCAACAACGCCTTAAAATTTTCTGGTGTAGCAATAGACACTTTTGTTATAATTTAATGTTTTTCTTTTAAAAAAATACCAAAAACTCCACTTTCGCTTGTACAGCATAATCTCCAATTACACTACACAAGGCGATACTTTTTTTGTTTCAAAACTTTCTCTAAATGTTCATTTCGTACCTCTTTAACTCCATATCATGAACCATTAATGATATTTATAGCCAAAATGATTGATAAAAGAGCAGCGATTAAATTAAAAATTATAAAATTTCATTTCTTGTCCTTAACTTATTTTTATCTTTGGAACCCAAATGAGCCGAAACTTTTAGGTTTGTAGTCTTTCATACTAGAATAAAATTCTCTGAAAATTTTAAATTTTTATTGGAGATTTATGATTTTTCATATTTTTTACAAATTAATCGTCAAACGCACCTAGGTAATTTGTCCGTCCTCTTCTGCTCAAATTATATCCATAATTACAATGTACAACAAAAATGATTCTTATATTGAATAATTATTTCAGATCTCATCGGGCCGCCTGATCCAAAAATCGAAAAAACTTGGCACCAAAAATCCGATGACGAAGACGATGACGATGATGACGGGTTAAAATCCGTGAAGAAAAGATGTTTTTTGGAAGAGCACAAACTCAAACTATCCCTAATGGAGAAAAAACATATTCTCGAACTCGATCTGATAAAGCAAGAGCACAAAGCAAGGATGAATATGATGCGGCAAGAGCACGATATGAAAATGAAACTGTTGGACTTGGAAAGGACTCTTGGAATAATTAATAAGATTTAGATTTTAGTATTGTTTTGAATTGCTCTTAGAATTCACTTTTTTGAATTACATTATTATTTTCAAAAACTTGAGTTTTTTTTTTTTTTCAATCTTAAGTCAGCAGCAACGAGAGTATAATAAGTAAATAAATTCTCAATAAAACGAAAAAGAAGGGTTTTTTGATGTAACAGGATTCCATCTGAGTACCAAAATGCTGTAAGCTATCAGAAATCTCTGGTTTAATTGTGATTCTTATTACATATTATCTTTATATATTTGGTTCTCTTATTTGTTTCTATTATTTCGATTTATTAGTGGCCAAAATTTTCTTTAGAGTAATGCTGGATTTTCTAAATTATGGAAAATTGTGAAAAGCTTTTAGAGACAATCCATCTGCCATTTTGCCACTACCTAATAAACTCAAGTCGGAAAACTTAATTGTCTAATTCTTATTCTAGGAAGGACCACACAGTGTCCTAGCCGACGATGAATTCTACGACGCAGTCGAATCCGGCCTAGATAAAATGGAAGAAGAACAAGAACTACGAGAAAAACTAAAAACTGGACAAATACCTGTTACACCGCCACCTACGTCACCGGCCCTACAACACAGACTATGGCCAGATATCGACCGATTAGTCAAACAACAAGTCGCAATGTCAAGAATGGGCATCGGAGATTGCGGCACCGGCTGGCAATTGTTCGCCGAAGACGGCGAAATGAAGATGTACAGGAGAGAGGAAGAAATCGACGGAATGGTGGTGGATCCACTAAAAGCAGTGCATATCGTCAAAGGCATTACCGGACACGAAGTGTGTCATTATTTTTTTAATCCTAAATATAGATACGATTGGGAAACTACTTTAGAGCATATGACAGTCTTAGAGAATATATCGGATGACACGTTAGTGTTTCTACAGACCCACAAAAGGATCTGGCCAGCTAGTCAGCGAGATGTTGTGTTTTGGTCGCACATACGCAAACTACCAAACGACCAAGATAGAGACGGGCCAGATATATGGACTGTTGTAAATAATTCGACTGAAAGTCCGGAACATCCGGTAAGAAAACTTTTTTGCGCTAGTGTTAATGTTTATATATGTCATCAGTTGCTAAAACTTCTTAAAAAGATTTTGTTCAATTTGAACTTTTCGATTGATTCTTAATTCCTTTTAAATATATTGAAAATAAGAACTAGAAAAATTATTTTTATTGAATATTAATTTTCATATTTCTGTTCCAGGCTAACGTAGGTAAATGTGTTAGGATATATTTAACAGTATGCCTTTTGTGCCAGACGAGGGTTCATCCGCCCAAAGACGGCGCGCCAATCACAAGAGATGATGTGTCATGTAAAATAACTTATTGTTCAGTAGGTGAGTGAATAATTTTCATTATGCCGATTTGCTCAACCTGACAAATTGTTTTTTCATTTTCAGTAAATCCAGGAGGTTGGGCGCCTGCGTCAGTATTGAGGGCGGTGTACAAAAGAGAATATCCGAAATTTCTGAAACGTTTTACTGCGTACGTCATAAATCAAACAAAAAACAAACCTCTTATGTTTTAATTTTTTTTCTAAGTCTTTTTGGTCAGGATATACATTTTTATTTTTTTGCCCCTATACTTTTTTTTTTGTTTTATCATTATTATTTATACATTTATAATATTAAATGTTATTTTATGTTAAAATATGTGAGTTTTATTTGGATTGCCTTCCAGGTTGAAAGATGGACAAGCATGAAAAATGCCTCGATAACATGAAGATAATATAGGTAAAAAATAATATAAAATGTGACAATATCCAAATATAAGAATTGTAAGCAGCTCTTTAATTCCATTCAAAGTGAAGATTCCCAATCCCCAGAATCCTTGGCAAACTCAAGAAATTTTTAAAAGAGAAATGTGTAGCACTAGAAATTGAAAATCAACTCTGAAAATGACAACTTGGAACACAGGAACCAAAATAACTTCCTCAAAGCCAAGATAAAACAGTCTAGAAGGAAATATGAACAAGAATTGCTAGCCTCTTCTGATAAGCAGTTTTATTCCTACATAAACAGATCTGTTGGTTCAAGACTTACACATGATGAGTCCAGAAGAGGATGAAATCACTGCTATTTTCCTGAACAAGTATACTGCATTTCTGTCACATCCCTTCTCAGCCATGATGAAGAATCTTCTCAGGCAGGGCAAACTACCAAGAGAATGGAAGAATGCGATTGCAGTGTCTATTTATAAAACTATAGGCCTATTAGCTCAACAAGCACCCTTTGCAAATGCATGGAGACAGTCCTGGTATCTGGGATGACTGGATTTTTGCTCGGAAATTAAATCATCCCACCTTCCCAACGCGGGTTCCTCACTGGAAGGTACACTTTCACAAACCCGCTTACCAAGGTTCATGTCTGGACAACGGCAGATGACTCCGGCCAGTCTGTTGATGTATTTCACCTGGTGAAAAGGTACAGGGTGATACAAAATATTCAAAACTTTAAGACAGAAGAACTAAAATAATTACAGAAACAATAAAATATACCTACTCCTTAACATTAACGCTAATGTAGGTATTGATTATTTGACAGTAGGGAAGTATACTGATGTTTTTTTTTCACAGTAGGACCTCAAAATAGTAAATATACAGAATTTGAGAGATCTGAGAAATGTTAATATTCACAGAGGGGTTCATTAGACTTCTTTAAATTCTCGAGACTTTTGAAATCGTTTGGTCGGTCTTTCACTTATAAGTCAATTCAATTCTTTATTGTTTCTAATGAAAATTAACTCATATAACAAGAAAGTTAAGTCTTACAGTTTTTTTTCAAATTATACCTACAACTAAATCCCAATCAAGAGCCACCCCTTTATACTTAAAAATAAATAATAATTAATAATATCAATTAAATAAGAAAGAAAAAATAACATACGCTACCCATTTACTTGAGAAAGAATAAATAAATAAATAAAATTAAATGTTTAAGGATCAAGAGAAGAGGGCAAATACCTAACTTAAGAGAAATAGAAAAAAAAAAAAGGAGAAGAAAAGGAGGAACAAAAAATAAAAAATCAAGAAAGCAGTGGTCTTGCATTTCCCACCGTTATTCAAACATTATAAATGCTCGCATAATTAGCACGTTCATTAAAAAGCGACATAGAACTTTTGCTGGTTTTTCACTGATTGGTTTGTTGAGAAAGTTTATAAAATCTTCATTGGTTTTAGAATAAGGTCTGCTGCAAAGCATCAAAAATAAATTCCAATTCTAGGTTAGGCCTAAGGTAAGTGCTACAAATAATCAGTGAGAAACCATTAAGAGATATTAAAAGTATAATCCAATAGCTACAAATGTCTAATAATAAAGTGTTAAATCTTATGTTGACAAAAGTTAATAAGCCACCACTAGCGCGTCCCTGAGATTTTTCCTTTGTTGCGAGAGATGAATAAATCTTAAAGTTAGGGAGAGAATCGTAATTAATTAGTTCATGCAACAACCAGGTCTCAGAAATGCAAAACACACATACTTCGTTAAAATCTACATTTTCTAAAAGTTGAGAAAGGTTTTTAAATCCTTGGCAGTTCCAGAATAAGAGCGAGGTTGATTGCTATTGTTCATCTTCTTGATGGTTACCAATACCGGCGCTATTTCTGCTATGTTTTAATTTTTCGGCAAATGAGTCGTTGGGTCTCGCTCTTTTTTGTCCAGCCTGCGGCGAAACGATTTGAGGGATCCCTCTAACATACTTGATGGTCAATTCCGGCTCTCCTTCTGACTTGCGTTTTTCAAGTTCGTCGCGTAAGGATTTTAATTCGTTTTGTTGATGGGGTGTGAGATCTGACTTAATTTTTATGCCCTTGTACTTGTCGCTTTGACGTAATAAATTCTGGTTTTTGATAAAGTGTAGAGCAGCTTCCTGAGAGTCTAGTTCAATTTTTATGGGACGGTTTTTTCCAGCGGTTACTCTAGGGCCTAATCGAAAATATTTTAGCGTCTTTTGGTGTATTGAAGGCGATACAGTTTGTAAGATTTCCTTAACCGTAGTTTGATCATCGTCTCTGGAGGATTCTTGCACGCCGATTAGCAAAATGTTTTTGGACCGGACGAGGCGTTCTTGAGTCTCAGTAAACAGTTCGTTAGCGTTAGTTGGTGCGGAGTTGTTTACTTTTGTTTCTAAGTTGTTTACTTTAGTTTCGAGCAGCGTATGTTGCGTTTGCAGTTGTAACACGTCCTTGTGGCATTGGTGAAGCATTGATTCGTGGGCGGAAAGAGTTTGCATAATGCCCTCTTTCATCCCTCTTAGCTCGTCCAACAGTATTTTAAAGTGGCTAGTATTTAATGGTTCATTTTCAACGTTTTGCGATGGAACCATCGGTGTCGGGGGAGTGGACAAACATTTGAAGCAGCGCGGGAGATCGCGATCTTTATCGCCTGTATTTTGCGGCGGAGCGCAGCACGTATTACAGGACCTTCGAAAGCATACTGAACAAACGCAAACAAGGGAACCTTGCAGGATCTCGTGCCTGCATACGTAGCATGACGTAGGTACCGAGGTAGACGGCATTGCGGCAGCGTTTCGGGTTCAAAGTCCAACTTGCGAGATTTTTGCTGGAGTTTTTCCTGTTTTTCTCTTTACTTTGTGGAAAGTGGTCAGTGAAAAGTTGTATGTTGCTGGTTCGCAGGTTTGCAGTAAAGTTGCAAGTCTTTTTTTGTAATAATTTGTAGTTTACTTACAGATTTTTTGCATATTTGTACGGAGCTGTTTATTTTTCACCTGCTTGTGACCACTGCGAAACCTAACCTAATAAGTCTGTTTCTGCAGAAATCACAAACCAGTCAGAGTCAATTTCATTGGTTGAAACTAGTTTTCTGGCTGTTTTCAACCAATGAAATTCGCTCTGACTGCTTTGTGATTTATGCAGAAACAGTCCTTATATTACGCACCTCTTTCTCAAAATCGATGTGTTATCTTACTGGTTTAGGTGACTTGAATATGCCTTTAGAAACCGTCTTATCGAATGTACCACAAGAGGTTTCAGAATTACGTGATAATACTTTTACATGTCACGAAACGCATTACGCAGCAACAACGACTCTGTAGTTTATTGAGATAAAATTCAGTGAAAATTTCAGCTTTCTATCTATAATAGAAAAAAAGTTATGCCCTTCCAAAGTTTTCAAAAATCTAAATCATAAGGTAGTCTTACTAAAACGATGAAATTTCAAAATTTTTTTTTGTTGAGATTTTCTATCCTAATGGTCAATTGGCATCCCTCAAACTCCCCAAATTACTTAACACGATTTTATCTCAGGAACTATAAGTGCAAATGAGCTGAAATTTTCAGGAATTGTATTCCCTTTATTGTAGGAGGAGTGGTGTTGCTAGTAACGCGTTGAGTGTCAGGTATAAGTATTAGGTAATTCTGAAACATCCGAGTGGTATTCAAAAGGTTATACAACGAACTAAACTTTAATACACCAAGCGCGCGATAATCCCAAAAAACTTATCACTTACTGAGCCTCTCGTGTCATATGGGAATAATGTACAGTGAGCTGTATAACTTTAATACACTAAAGCGCGATAATCTCAAAAGGCTTATCACTTATTAAGCCTCTCGTGTCATATGGGAATAATGTACAGAAAAAAAAAATTCCGACGTCATAGGGAAGTAATGAAGAAAGTGATGCCTATCGATGCGGATTAATGGCCAATTGCACGGCTATCACTTAAGGAATATCTAATCTATGTGGAGCTTTGAATGTGACTTTTGTTTCCACAAGAGGCACATTCAAAGCTTCACTTGGATTAAATACCCCTTAAGTTATAGCAGTGCAAATGGCCGTAAATGTAGCATAAGAGTTTTTCTCTTTATGAAACTGCAGTTGTAGGAATAATGTTGTTTTCAAATTTTCCTTGAAAGGGGTTGACATTTCTGCAGTTAAAGAATGTCCACCGGACTCGTAAGGAACTGTTGTATTGTTTGATTGCACTGAAAGTGAGGAAATGGATGTTTCTATAGACATTCATCCCTAATCTAAGGGCTTGTTGTGGCTGGTAAGAAATATTATAATACTTGGCCCCTTTCTTGAATAAATATTGGCCTTTAGGGGCATAGGGCCTTATAGGTGGACAGATGGACTAGCTCCCATAAAAGTTGTCAAATCGATTTTACCAGCTTACCAGAACGGTTATCAGAATCGGATTTTCAAATATTTTGTTCTGTTCCGTCTTTAATTACCTACTATTAATTAATGTATGCTCGAATGTACCTATGTATTGGTTTTGAAAACCTTCATTTAAGATTTTCAATATTATTTACTGTTGAGGCCGGATTTATTAATCTTCTGATAGATTGTCAGGTAAGAGTAAAAGAGTAGAGAAAGGAACACTTATTTATGCCCTTATACCGTGCGTTCGTTATTTTGGTCCGAGTTCTCCGAGCTTGACTTTACCGTTCGTTTATTTAAAAAGTGTACTCGGTGCAGCCTCATTCGCGTTCGTTTATTGAAATTTCTGGCACTTTTATACAGCGTTCAACTGTTCTGTTCGCTCACTGGTCATGTGATTACGGTTCCGCTCAACACGCTCTGCTCTTTGAACAAAATACCGAACGCAAGGATAGTAGAAGGGGGAGAAAGACAGAGTCTTCTGACATATGCTAAAAAGAGTGGAGGGAGACATTAAAAACACTAAGCC